CATCATTCCCAATCCCATCTCCCCCACCCCATCATTCCCAATCCCATCATCCCCTACCCCATCTCCCCCCACGCCATCATTCCCAATCCCATACCCCCCACGCCATCATTCCCAACCCCATCATTCCCAATCCCATCTCCCCCACGCCATCATTCCCAACCCCATCATTCCCAATCCATCATCCCCTACCCCATCTCCCCCACGCCATCATTCAACCCCAACCCCATCATTCCCAATCCCATCTCCCCCACCCCATCATTCCCAATCCCATCATCCCCTACCCCATCTCCCCCCACGCCATCATTCCCAACCCCATCATTCCAAATCCCATATCGCCCAGTGACTGGTTTTCAGTCGACTGATCCCCTGCCCTCTGTCCCCCCACGCCATCATTCCCAATCCCATCATCCCCTACCCCATCTCCCCCCACGCCATCATTCCCAACCCCATCATTCCCAATCCCATCTCCCTACTCCGCCAGGAAGATGCTCCTCCTCAGGTACCGCTCCCTCTGCTCCGGCTCCTTCCGGCTGTCGCTCACCAACGCCAGGTTGAGGAAGAGCCGAGCCTTCATCTCCAGCACCTCCCTCCGCGGCACCCATCCTGCACCCACCGCCGGGGCTCAGCACCCATGGGTGCACAGCACCCAGCACCCATCATTGAGACCCCAGCACCTTCCAGCCTCTCCTCCACGATGGCCAAGCTGGTGTGGAAAGCCCTTTGGGCCTCATCCAGCGCCGCGGGCTCCTCGCCGCTCTCCCCTATGAACATGTGGGTCCGGCCCAGGGTGGCCCAGGCCCGCTGCTGCTCCGTGTGGTCGCCCAGCGCCCGCGCCAGCTCCAGGTGCTGCTCCTGGTGCTGGGAAAAGGGAGGCAGGAAAAGGGTGCTGAGCGCCACGGGAATGGGGCTGAAGAGGGAGGGAGGAGGTGGGAGCAGCACCGTGGCGATGGGGGAAAAGGGAGGCAGGAAAAGGGTGCTGAGCGCCACGGGAATGGGGCTGAAGAGGGAGGGAGGAGGTGGGAGCAGCACCGTGGCGATGGGGGAAAAGGGAGGCAGGAAAAGGGTGCTGAGCGCCACGGGAATGGGGCTGAAGAGGGAGGGAGGAGGTGGGAGCAGCACCAAGGGGATGGGGGAAAAGGGAGGCAGGAAAAGGGTGCTGAGCACCACGGGAATGGGGCTGAAGAGGGAGGGAGGAGGTGGGAGCAGCACCGTGGCAATGGGGAGGAATAGGGCAGGATGCGGTGGGTACCAGCACCATGGGGATGGGGCAGAATAGGGCAGGATGCAGTGGGTACCAGCACCATGGGGAGGGGGCAGAATAGGGCAGGATGCAGTGGGTACCAGCACCATGGGGATGGGGCGGCACAGGGCAGGATGCAGTGGGTACCAGCACCATGGGGATGGTGCAGAACAGGGCAGGATGCGGTGGGTCCCAGCACCACAGGGATGCCCCAGCACAGGGCAGGATGCAGTGGGTACCAGCACCATGGGGATGGGGCGGAATAGGGCAGGATGCAGTGGGTACCAGCACCATGGGGATGGTGAGGAATAGGGCAGGATGCAGTGGGTACCAGCACCATGGGGATGGGGCAGAATAGGGCAGGATGCAGTGGGTACCAGCACCATGGGGATGGTGCAGAACAGGGCAGGATGCGGTGGGTCCCAGCACCACAGGGATGCCCCAGCACAGGGCAGGATGCAGTGGGTACCAGCACCATGGGGATGGGGCGGAATAGGGCAGGATGCAGTGGGTACCAGCACCATGGGGATGGGGTGGAATAGGGCAGGATGCGGTGGGCACCAGCACCATGGGGATGGGGCAGCACAGGGCAGGATGCAGTGGGTACCAGCACCATGGGGAGGGGGCAGAATAGGGCAGGATGCAGTGGGTACCAGCACCATGGGGATGCTCCAGCACAGGGCAGGATGCAGTGGGTACCAGCACCATGGGGAGGGGGCAGAATAGGGCAGGATGCAGTGGGTACCAGCACCATGGGGATGGTGAGGAATAGGGCAGGATGCAGTGGGTACCAGCACCATGGGGATGGTGAGGAATAGGGCAGGATGAAGTGGGTACCAGCACCATGGGGATGCTCCAGCACAGGGCAGGATGCAGTGGGTACCAGCGCCATGGGGATGGGGCAGAATAGGGCAGGATGCAGTGGGCACCAGCACCATGGGGATGCTCCAGCACAGGGCAGGATGCGGTGGGTACCAGCACCATGGGGATGCCCCAGCACAGGGCAGGATGCAGTGGGTACCAGCACCATGGGGATGGGGCAGCACAGGGCAGGATGCGGTGGGTACCAGCACCACGGGGATGGGGCAGAATAGGGCAGGATGCAGTGGGTACCAGCGCCATGGGGATGGGGGAGCATTGGGAAGGATGCAGTGGGTACCAGCACCATGGGGATGGGGCAGAATAGGGCAGGATGCAGTGGGTACCAGCACCATGGGGATGCCCCAGCACAGGGCAGGATGCAGTGGGTACCAGCACCATGGGGATGGGGCGGAATAGGGCAGGATGCAGTGGGTACCAGCACCACGGGGATGGGGCAGAATAGGGCAGGATGCAGTGGGTACCAGCACCACGGGGATGCAGTGGGTACCAGCGCCATGGGGATGCAGTGGGTACCAGCGCCACGGGGATGCAGTGGGTACCAGTGCCATGGGGATGGTGCAGGATAGGGCAGGATGCAGTGGGTACCTGCACCACCGGGATGCAGTGGGTACCAGCACCATGGGGATGCCCCAGCACAGGGCAGGATGCAGTGGGTACCAGCACCTCCGGGACGCAGTGGGTACCAGCACCATGGGGATGCCCCAGCACAGGGCAGGATGCAGTGGGTACCAGCACCACGGGGATGCCGTGGGTACCAGCACCATGGGGATGCCCCAGCGGAACACAGGATCCAGTGGGTACCAGCGCCACGGGGATGCAGTGGGTACCAGCGCCACGGGGATGCCGTGGGTACCAGCGCCACGGGGATGCAGTGGGTACCAGCACCATGGGGATGCCCCAGCTCAGGGCAGGATGCAGTGGGTACCAGCGCCACGGGGATGCAGTGGGTACCAGCGCCACGGGGATGCAGTGGGTACCAGCGCCACGGGGATGCAGTGGGTACCAGCGCCACGGGGATGCAGTGGGTACCAGCGCCACGGGGATGCAGTGGGTACCAGCGCCACGGGGATGCTCCGGTACCTGCAGGGCAGCCGGGTACCGCTCCAGCTCCGCCAGGCGCTCGCCGATCTTGCGGTGGGCGATGGCGCAGCCCAAACGGTCCCCGGCGCCCTCCAGCAGCCGCAGCTCCTCCCGGTGCTCCTCCAGGGCCTCCTCATAGCGGCCTATGGGGTGGGATGGCACAGAGTGGGGTTGGGGGGGGGCCTTATCCATAGATCCTGGGGGTCGTTATCCCTGCATCCCAGTTGTTATCCCAGTTGTTGTCCCTGGATCCCAGTTGTTATCCCTGGATCCCAGTTGTTATCACTGGATCCCAGCTGTTATCCCAGTTGTTGTCCCTGGATCCCAGTTGTTGTCCCTGGATCCCAGCTGTTATCCCTGTTGTTATCCCTGCATCCCAGTTGTTATCCCTGTTGTTATCCCTGCATCCCAGTTGTTATCCCTGGATCCCGGTTGTTATCCCTGATTCCCGGTTGTTATCCCTGTTGTTGTCCCTGCATCCCAGTTGTTATCCCTGTTGTTATCCCTGCATCCCAGTTGTTATCCCTGTTGTTATCCCTGCATCCCAGTTGTTATCCCTGCATCCCAGTTGTTATCCCTGGATCCCGGTTGTTATCCCTGATTCCCGGTTGTTATCCCTGTTGTTGTCCCTGCATCCCAGTTGTTATCCCTGTTGTTATCCCTGGATCCCGGTTGTTGTCCCTGCATCCCAGTTGTTATCCCTGTTGTTACCCCTGGATCCCAGTTGTTATCCCTGGATCCCAGTTGTTATCACTGGATCCCAGCTGTTATCCCTGTTGTTATCCCTGGATCCCGGTTGTTATCCCTGTTGTTATCCCTGGATCCCAGTTGTTATCCCAGTTGTTGTCCCTGGATCCCAGTTGTTGTTCCTGTTGTTATCCCTGGATCCCAGTTGTTATCCCTGTTGTTATCCCTGAATCCCAGTTGTTATCCCTGCATTCCAGTTGTTATCCCTACATCCCAGTTGTTATCCCTGTTGTTATCCCTGCATCCCAGTTGTTATCCCAGTTGTTGTCCCTGGATCCCAGTTGTTCCTGTTGTTATCCCTGGATCCCAGTTGTTATCCCTGTTGTTATCCCTGAATCCCAGTTGTTATCCCTGCATTCCAGTTGTTATCCCTACATCCCAGTTGTTATCCCTGTTGTTATCCCTGCATCCCAGTTGTTATCCCAGTTGTTGTCCCTGGATCCCAGTTGTTCCTGTTGTTATCCCTGCATTCCAGTTGTTATCCCCGTTGTTGTCCCTGGATCCCAGTTGTTATCCCTGTTGTTATCCCTGCATCCCAGTTGTTATCCCAGTTGTTGTCCCTGGATCCCAGTTGTTATCCCTGTTGTTATCCCTGCATTCCAGTTGTTATCCCAGTTGTTGTCCCTGGATCCCAGTTGTTCCTGTTGTTATCCCTGGATCCCAGTTGTTATCCCTGAATCCCAGTTGTTATCCCTGCATTACAGTTGTTATCCCCGTTGTTGTCCCTGGATCCCAGTTGTTATCCCTGTTGTTATCCCTGCATCCCAGTTGTTATCCCAGTTGTTGTCCCTGGATCCCAGTTGTTGTCCCTGGATCCCAGTTGTTGTCCCTGTTGTTATCCCTGGATCCCAGCTGTTATCCCTGAATCCCAGTTGTTATCCCTGGATCCCGGTTGTTATCCCTGTTGTTATCCCTGGGTCCCAGTTGTTATCCCTGGATCCCAGTTGTTATCCCTGGATCCCAGTCGTTATCCCTGCATCCCGGTTGCTGTTATCCCTGTATCCCACTCATTATCCCTGTATCCCGATCGTTATCCCTGCATTCCAGTCCCTGTTATCCTTGTATCCCGGTTGCTGTTATCCCTGCATCCTGGTCCTTATCCCTGTATCCCGGATGTTATCCTTGCATCCTGATTACTGTTATCCCTGTATCACGGTCCTTATCCCTGCATCCCGGTAACGTTATCCCGCTATCCCGGTGCTGTTATCCCCGCATCCCGGTGCCGTTATCCCGCCATCCCAGTCCCGTTATCCCGCTATCCCGGTGCTGTTATCCCCGCATCGCAGTGCTGTTATCCCCCATCCCGGTCCCCTTATGCCCGCATCCCGGTCCCGTTATCCCCGTATCCCGGTGCCGTTATCCCCCTATCCCGGTCCCGTTATCCCGCCATCCCGGTGCCGTTATCCCGCCATCCCGGTCCCGTTACCCCGCCATCCCGGTCCCGTTATCCCGCCATCCCGGTGCCGTTATCCCCGCCATCCCGGTGGCGTTATCCCGCTATCCCAGTCCCGTTATCCCTGAATCCTGGTGCCGTTATCCCGCCATCCCGGTCCCGTTATCCTGCCATCCCGGTGCCGTTATCCCCGTATCCCGGTGCCGCTATCCCGGTCCCGTTATCCCGCCATCCCGGTGCTGTTATCCCCACATCCCGGTGCCGTTACCCCGCATCCTGGTCCCGTTATCCCTGCATCCCGGTGCTGTTATCCCCCTATCCCGGTGCCGTTATCCCCGCATCCCGGTGCCGTTATCCCGCCATCCCGGTCCCGTTATCCCGCCATCCCGGTCCCGTTATCCCGCCATCCCGGTGCCGTTATCCCCCTATCCCGGTCCCGTTATCCCACCATCCCGGTGCCGTTATCCCACCATCCTGGTCCCGTTATCCCGCCATCCCGGTCCTGTTATCCCCCTATTCCAGTGCCGTTATCCCGCTATCCCGGTCTCGTTATCCCCGCATCCCGGTGCCGTTATCCCCCTATCCCGGTGCCGTTATCCCGCTATCCCAGTGCCGTTATCCCTGCATCCCGGTGCCGTTATCCCCATATCCCGGTCCCGCTATCCCGTTCCCGTTATGCCGCTATCCCGGTGCCGTTATCCCCGTATCCCGGTCCCGTTATCCCGGTGCCGTTATCCCTGCATCCCGGTCCCCTTAACCCCGCATCCCAGTCCCGTTATCCCGCTATCCCGGTCCCGTTATCCCGCTATCCCGGTCTCATTATCCCCGCATCCCTGTCCCGTTATCCCCGTATCCCGGTCCCCTTATCCCCGCATCCCGGTCCCCTTATCCCCGCATCCCGGTCCCGCTATCCCGCTATCCCGGTGCCGTTATCCCGCCATCCCGGTGCCGTTATCCCGCTATCCTGGTCCCGTTATCCCGCCATCCCGGTGCCATTATCCCCGTATCCCGGCGCCGTTATCCCGCCTTCCCGGTGCCGTTATCCCCGTCATCCCGGTGCCGTTATCCCCATATCCCGGTGCCGTTATCCCGGTCCTGTTATCCCGCTATCCCGGTGCCGTTATCCCGCCATCCCGGTGCCGTTATCCCGCTATCCCGGTGCTGTTATCCCCGCATCCCAGTGCCGTTATCCCGCTATCCCGGTCCCATTGTCCCGGTGCCGTTATCCCGCTATCCCGGTGCTGTTATCCCTGCATCCCAGTCCCGTTATCCCGCTATCCCAGTGCCATTATCCCCGTATCCCGGTGCCGTTATCCCCGTATCCCGGTCCCGTTATCCCCGTATCCCGGTCCCGTTATCCCCGCTATCCCGGTGCCGTTATCCCGCCATCCCGGTCCCGTTATCCCGCTATCCCGGTGCCGTTATCCCGCCATCCCGGTCCTGTTATCCCGCCATCCCGGTCCCATTATCCCCGCATCCCGGTGCCGTTATCCCCGTATCCCGGTGCCGTTATCCCCGCATCCCGGTGCCGTTATCCCGGTCCCGTTATCCCGCTATCCCGGTGCCGTTATCCCGCCATCCCGGTGCCGTTATACCCGCATCCCGGTGCCGTTATCCCCGCATCCCGGTCCCGTTATCCCGCCATCCCGG